AAAGGAGACCACAGGTACTGGGGAAATGGGACTAAAGTAGAAAGAGCCAAGGTGAGGCCAAGGGGTGCTTCAGAGCCCGGCAGGGGAAAAAAATGAGGGAGATTAACTTCCCTTTCTGAGCAAGCAGTCACCCTGTCATGTGACCAGAGCCCTCCAAACTCCCCTCTACCCCCTTGGCTCCTCCTTTCACCGGGCTCCCCACACTCCCCCTTCTTGCCTTCTCCCCTCCACCTCCACTCCAGAAAGGATCTCATAAAATCCCCAGTAGACAGCTGAGCCGGTATCACTGAAGCCCAAGGGTCCTGAACCCCGTCACTACCAAAGGCCTCCTCCTATGACTGTCCTTCCGGGACCTCATATCTGGAAGGTTTTAGGTTTTAGGGTAGCATATGCCCTTCGAGTTATAGACTCAAGGTTTTTCTCGTTATTGTCTTATCTAATATCAACAGAACTTGTATCATGTTGTATATGAAGGAAAGGACAGGTTTGAAAACCTCTAACCTGTGTGATCTCTAGAGACAACCTAGTTGGCTTAGGAAACCTCGGGGAGCTAGAGCCAGGGAGGAGACTAATGGGACAGCCTAGAGAAGGCTGGACTCCTGTGACCACGAAGTGTGGCTTTTGTCAAGGTTATGGACTGGCTTAGATGGTTCGACATAGTTCCCAACTACGAAGCATCTGCCAAAATTACAGACATTGACCGTGAGGGTGGCTTGTGGGTAAGGTAATGCCAGGCAGGCAGGAGGGCCAGACTCTGGATTCCCAGGACCCACATAAAAGCCAGGCAGTTTGGGCAGCCTAACCTATGATCTCAGCACTCAAGGGGGCAGAGACAGGGAGTCTCCGGGCCAAGCTGACTAGCGAGATAAATGGTGAGCAAAAGACCCTGTTTCAAAATATATCAGGTGGAGAGGGGACATCAATCTGGAGCCTCGGTAAGCATGCACACACATGTATACATCTACCCACACATATGAACACACATCTGTACCCACATGTCATAGGCACACTTCTGAACATTTATGGGATAAAGTAAAAAGGTCTAAAGCTGGCTAACCATGTAGAAGACTGTGGGAGAAATCCAAACAACTTGGCAACAGATCCTTAGTACTAGAAAGGAGCGGGAACACAGTAACCACTGCAGTCCGGTTATCCTCACTATGTCAGAGTCTGCATTTGCAAATCCTAACCCCCAGTCCCTTTGGAATCATCCAGCACAAATCACCGTGGTTTTGAGGCTAACTCATGGAGGTGAGCAAAGAAGAGCCAAGACCAGTGACCCAGTGCACGTGATCCCAGCTGGAGAGGAACAAACTCTCACACATCGTTCCAGGCACACCTAATGTCGTACTCTTTGCGTTCCTGCTTTTCGTCGATTGTTTCACTGTTTTCAGATGCCCCCTAATGACAGTACCAATGTGGTATCTAAAGGACGAGAAAGCTGGGACAGACCTTCCCAGAGAAAGCATGCGCTGGATAATCATCCATCTGGCATGAGTTCTAGAGCCCCTGGCTATGAGTTCCATGTTCCTGAGTCAACAATATGCTTAAAGTGTCTTGAAACAGAAGCGCCCAGGAGGAGAGGTTTAGTGTTGCTCATTGACAAAAGTACTTGAGCCAGAGGCTCACAGGAACCTGATCTTACATCTCCTCTCAGAGCAACAATTCAGCTCGTGCTGTTCAGTGCTTGTGGTATCTGTGTAACTACTGAAGACGATGATAACAAAGCATGCATGTTACATGTTTTTATATATTGCTGCTCTATGGGTGAGAGAGTTGAAGTTATCCACGTTAGACTATGTGACTCTAAACTGATGGTGTCAGATGGCAGGATTTGAATCCACTCCCAGAGAGGAACAGGACTCTAACTTTTGTACCAGACTGCCAGTTCTTAGGGAAATGTAGATGATCCCATAGCAAAACTGATAGATCATTAAGAGGGATCAAGGCTTGTGGATGGAGACCTAGGTGGGGCAGAGCTAAGACAGCAGACTGGAAGCTGAAGGGGCAGATGCTGACTTTATGTGAAGGAGGGACTGTGGTCTTCAGAGCTCTCTGACAGGAGAGGCAGCCTTAGTGTTATGGTTCGAACTATAACTGTCCCTTGGCGGCTCAGGCGTTTAAACGCTTGGTCCCCAGCTGGTAGCACTGTTTGGGGAGGTTTAGGAGGTGTGGTCTTGCTGGAGAATGTATATCCCTGGTGGCAGGCTTCAAGAGTTTAAAGACTCTTGACGTTTCTAGTTTTCTCTCTCTGCTTTGTGATTGTACTCCAAGGGGTGAGTTTTCAGCTTTCTTTTCCTTCCACCATGCCTTTACAAACATCATGGACTCTACCCCTCTGGAACCATGCGTCCAAACAGACCCTTCCTTTTATAAATTGTCTCGATCATGGTGTTCTATCACCACAACAGAAAAGTAACTAAGACACTTAGCCGAAACAAAACACATGCAGCCCCTTCCACCACACACACCCAAGTCAAAGGAAACAAACAAAAACAGAACATGATCATCAGATGTCGTTTGCATGGATCGGACCACCGGGAACACACAAGGAAGAGGCGAATTGCATTTAGCATACACTAAGAGAACAGTGGAAGAAAAGGCGCTGCCGAGTGTGCAAACGACAGTGTGAAGGGAAACAGAGGCCTCCTTAAGCCTTGTGGATGGAGACCCAGATGGATCAGAGCTCAGACTGCAGACTGGAAGCTAGAGGCATACATGCTGGGTTTGTGTAGGGGAGGTTTTGTGTCATTCAGAGCCCTTTGATAGCCAAGATTGGAAGCCAGTGGTCCACGGGTCCATCCACCGGGGACACCAGGTTACTACGCTTTCTTAAAACAATGCATTTAAATGTCCTTTGTGGGGCCTGCACCGCTGTTTCAGAAGCCTGCAGCATCCCATGTGCTTTCAGCCCAACATAACGTGTTGTGATTTACCTTACTCTTGTAATAGAGCGGCTGGGTATAGCAAATGCAGGTAAGGATGAAGTCACGATTTCAGACAGATGATCATTTCTAGCATGTCCCATATAGAACTTAGGTCGCATTTAGATTTATATCCCAGCATTTGGTATTTACTAATACTGTTCTGTGTTTCATCTTTCAGCTTCACCCTGGAGGCTTGACAGGGGAGCCTTTGACCTAGCATGTTGAGGAAGTGGGCTCCACATCTGGGAAGTACTCAGAGGAATGCTTGGGATAGAAAAGGAAAGCTAACATGGTTTTAGTATACCTTGGCCTTTGCTTTCCTGAGATGCTGTTTCAGAGAAAACAAGAGTAGAGAGAGTAAACTCAGGATAATAACCTTGATGTTTGGAGTATGGCTGACAGGTGGGATGCCAGCCCTTGGCTCTCACAGCAGAGCGAACCATCTTCTCCACCCCAAAGGTCTGGAATTTTTGAATGGAGGACAAAATAGTTTCTGGCCTTTAGTATCCAATGCTTGAGAAACTCCTTTTAAGCAGAGCTAAGAGGTGCATCTGTGGCCTGGAGAGTGACAGCGGCCTTTCTGAACCAGGGCAGAAACTGACAAGCCTGCTGTTTTCCGTTTCAGCAGCCATTGTTTGCCTCTGTCAGACTACGCATAGCCATCCTGACACCATTCTCCTGTGTTGCTGCCAGAACTGCCTTTCTGGTGGCCTCGCGCACACTGTGATGAACGCCTAAGGAGCAAAGCACTAGTTGCTATGAGAGGAGAGGCTGTCTCAGCCTCAGTTTCCCCAGTGGAACATGACTGGTAAGATCTCTGAGGTCACGTCAAGAAATTGCGCTTTTAGAAGCCTTGACAATGATCTTGGCTATTGGCCACTTTTTCCCATGTCCTTTCTGGCCCTTGGAAAATTCTACTGTGTTCAAGAATGGAGAGCACTTGCTTTGGGGCTCTTGTGTTGGAGAGGAGGCAAGTTAGCTTCTTGGCAGTGTGGTAAGGTCCAGAACTGACACACAGGCAGCTCATGGGCGGGGCCCTCTGCAGCTCCATGGGCAACATCCTATCCCTTTTCTCAGGGTGAGTCTCCCTTAATTCCTCCCACTTTTCTCATAGCCCTCACTGACAAAATGAAAAAAGGGCGGGGGCGGGAGGAGGTAATAAATGAATTATAGGCGTGTAGTAGGCCCTGGAATTTAGGGTTCTCGTGTATCGTCTTGGGGGAAAGACCCTAGAAGACATGAGCTTTGCCACCTCTTTTGAAGACAGGTGCTTTTAGCATCCCCCAAATCCCCAGACACCCCTAACACTCTCAGTGATGCTGTGTCTTCCTCAGAATGAGCTAAGTGAAGCCTTGGGAGCTGCTCAGAGCATCCAGACTCAGTCCAGCTCCCTTTTAAATACCGTCATAGGGTAGAGACAAGCCATGACGTGTCCTTCTCATGCAAACCCAGAACTGTGGATCTTAAGTGAGGCCATTAGGCCGCAGGTAGCTTGGCTACTTGCAAGTGAGAGCCCTGGTTTCATTCCTGTTCTCAATAAAGATCCTGTCTCCTGAGAGAATTTGCAGTGGAACCCTACTTGGGTCGCTTTCTACACCTTTCAGGGTCCTGTACTCACACTGCACACAGATCTCCAGCTATGATGAGCTGAAGGCATGAGCTGGAAATCGAACAAAGGCTTTCAGAAGCTTAAACGTCCTTGGAAAATTCTACCTCTTCTACTCACCACCTGTCAACGTGGTCCATTTAAAATGTTTTTCTGACGTGTAGGTTTTCTTACTTGTAAAGTGTAGACAGAGCACTACTCTTATAGAGTGGGTTGGGAAGAAACAAGCCATGAGTACAGGAACTCCCGCAAATGGCAGATCTGATTATTGTTTTTGTTGAATGCAAAACACAGGCAGAAAGAGTCACTCCGTGAGAGTGTGATTTCCCAGCCTTCAATGCACTCTTACTTGCTTTTGCACAAAGGTCTAGACTAGTTATCTGATAGATGAACTGCCCTGTGTAACATGGCAGGTTCTAGATTGTTGCTCCCTAAAAGCAATTAAGAGGCACTAGAGTCGGCGGCGGTGGGATGCATGCCAATTCTTTTATTTATGATGCTATGTGGAGCACAAGCCGGCCAGCATTCAGCCCTCAGGGAGAACTCTATGGCCCGTTCACGCCGTCACTCTACGATGCGGCGCAGTGACTGGACCGCGGGGGACGTTGCGCCCCAGTCGATGGGCTTTCGGTACTCCTTCTTGTCCAGAAGATACTGCCTGCCGCGGTAGTTGGGCAGCTCGTAGAAAACCCAGGTGCCGTCTAGTACCTTACAGGAGTGGATCTCTCGCATGTGGAACTGCTCCATGGTGGAAGGGCAGTCTTCTGTGGTTTCATACATCTGGCCATTAAAATCACCCTTCTCGAAGATCTGGATCTTATACTGGCCTCCACTAGACTGCGGACAACAGCAACAAACGGCAATGGACAGCCATCATTAGAGAAATCACTAGCGCTTCAGGAACTCAGATGACAGCAGGTTCACAGCCTGTCCCCCTGAAAGGAGGGCCATCAGAACTGTCTCTACCGTGAAATACTGAAAAGGCTGACTTCGTTTTTTAAAGTATAATTTCTATAAATATGTATGAGGTAGAAAGAGGGTCATAGAACAATTAGTCTTCACTTGATCTCAGCCAAAAGGCTGGGAAGTAATGACATTCAGTCTAGTGAAGAAGTAAACTATGATTTTTATTTCAGTCAACAAAACCTCTAGAAAGACTTAGCAGAAGGTGTGGGGGGGGGAGAGGGGGCTGGAGAGATGGCTCAGCAAAAAGAGTGCCCTTTGCTCTACCAAAGGAGTCAGCTCAGTTCCCAAAATCTACATCAGGCAGCTCATATCCACCTGTAACTCCAGCTCTAGGGGACCCAACACCTTCTTCTGGCCTCTGAAGGCACCTGCATGCAAATGTGCTCACACACACACACACACACACACACACACACACACACACACACACGCTCATAAAAGTAAAATCTTCGAAAAGGTGTGGGGTGGTGGCCACAGCAAGCTCCCAGACTCACCAGATGAACAGCCCTGCAAGAGCCCAGGCGGTCATTGAGGCCCATCCAACGCTGGTACTCAGGGTACTCGCCCTGAGGTAAGATGTACATGTGTCCCGCGAAGTTGGGCCTTTCGTACACAGCCCAGGTGCCTCCTTCTACTCTGATGGAGTTGCAGCGACTTAAGTACGAGTAGAAGTCGGCACAGTCACAGTCGCAGTCATAGCGGCGGCCTTGAAAATTTTTGTCTTCATAGAAACTAATCTGAAGCACAGAGCAGTTAGAGAGCTGAGGGGCTGGGCGGCTTTGCACACAGACGGGAGAGAAAAGCTCACTGTCCCTTCTACGGGAAGAGAAACGCACTCTTCTACTGACCTCACGTTGACTTCTGGGGATTTTGTCAACAAATGCGATCGGGACTTTCTTAAAATGGAGCACGATAAAGAATGTTCTGATGGAGGACAGCAGTCTCCGACCAAGACCAAACCGGGCATTTACATTTCTACAGCCCTCTACTCAAACAGACCGGAAGTGATGATGCAAAACAGACCTCAGTTTTTCTGGTTGAAATAGGGAACACCTGATTGGGACCCTGGGAGTTCATCAATTATTTCTAACTATCACCATGAAACCCCAAAATACACACACACACACACACACACACACACACACACACACACACACACACACACTTGTGCACCGTTATTCCACAACCATAAAAACGCTGGGCTGTAAGGAAACAACAGTGAGTTGTGGTTGAAGTGGTTAATTTCTTGGCATTGTGCCGCCACCTTGTGGCTGATTTATTAACAGAAAAGCTCTGTCATAAGGAGCAGAGGTGGGGAGTCTTCGTTTTTTTTGAGTGAGGGTAGAAAGGTGAGTAGTTTTCTGGAAGGAAAGGAAAGGGGACAAGCCTGTCCAAACGAATAAAGTTGGTGAAGAGCACAGCCTGTCACAGGAACCAGTGTATAGTGAGTGAGTGTGCAGTGAGTGTGACCGAGCTGGAGTTTGTTCCCTCAGTGACTGTGAACAAGACAAGGAGGTCACACGGGTAGCTGCGACAGGAAGCACCCTGAAGAGGTTCAGTCAGGTCTTGGTGACTCATTGGATGGAGAGAATGGACTCACACAAAGAGCCTTTCTCTTTCAGATTCTTCCCCAGGTGACACACCCTGTTCCATTCTGCCTTACCCCCCCCCCCAACATCCCAATTCTCTCACCTCTATTTCCTGTTCCCTATTTTTTCTTACACACACACACACACACACACACACACACACACACACACACACACACATCATTTATTTCATTCCCTCCTCTTCAAATTTGTTTTTCTGATCCCTCTCTTATTTCAGCATAGCAGATCTAGAAGTGCCTGTTTACAGACCTGAAGGAAAAAAATCCAGCACAGCTTACTAGCTAGCCATGTGACGAACGAGCATTGAGCCTTTCTTCAGAGCTCAAGGTGAAAGTGTGTCCTACAGAGGGGTGGTCTGAGGGTAGAATGGAAATAATGGTAATCAAGTATAAAGTTTGACTCAAAATTGCCAGTGAAGTAGAAGGGGCCGCACCCCTGCCTGCGAAGCCATAGGCAATTAAAAGTTGTTGGGAGAGTGAGTCTCACATTCCTTGGTGGTGTAGACACTCTAAAAGCAGTCACTCTCAACCTTCCTAATGCTGCAGCCCTTTAATACAGTTCATGCCGCGGTGACCCCAACCATAACATTATTTGGCTACTACTTCATAACTGTAATTTTGCTGTTATGAATGGTAACGTAAATGTCTGATACGTGACCCACAGTGGGGTTCAGACCCACAGGTTGAGAACTGCTGCTCTAAGCTGTCCTGCTCAAATAGCCCACACCCGAGCTCAAGCAAGCAACTGCAATTAAATGCAATGGGACACACACACACACACACACACACACACACACACACACACATACACACTCACACACACGCACACGCACGAGCACGCACGCACACCACGAAACTAGCAAGGGGATTACAGGGAAGGGGGTTGGTGTAGTGGGAGGGAAATGGGAGAATAATGGGGATGCACATGATTAAAGTGCCTTATATACATGTGTAAAACTGTTAAGCACATCTTACAAACTAAAATACAACTGTCTCAGTCTGTGTGTTACTTGTGTGTACGTTCGGGGCTGACCATTTGGTATTTGGTAGCCAATTGGTGTGATCTGCCCCGGGGAGGACAATTTTTTCTCCCACCCTGCAGCCTGCCTTAGTCGCCTGTAGTTCTTTGTGCGAGGCGGAAGTTTCACGAGCTTTCCTCTTTGCACCTTAGCGTGCCCCTCACTGTCATCCTTGTGCAGGTTAGGAAACCCAAGAGAAATCGTTCAAGATAGTAAGCTGCTTTTCTTGTTATGGACAAGGAGATTGACTTCCAAAGATCACTAGCTTTCCAAGGATAGCTAGAAGCCTGTGGGCTGCTGCAGTGTAGACCCCTTGCTTCTTATGTGGGCCATTTTTTTTTCCACTCCATCTTCCTACCCCCACATGACTCACATAGCAGCATTTACACTCTAAACGCTCAGCAGGACTGACCCTGCACCCCAGAGCCTTTTTATTGTGACCTGTGATGAGAAATCGAGTAACTTCCTTAAGAATGGACAGGTTCCACCCGCCTTCATTCATATGCTGAGTTTACTTTTGAGCCGTGACTTACCAAAGATGACTTTGTGGGAGTTATGCTATGGGGAATACTGCTTGTGTATTTTAATTCATTGGTTCTCACATTCACAGTCCTCTGCATATCTGCCTTGTAGCAGCATCTGGGAACGACATCTATAATGGGGTCACCACATTGTCTGCCCTGAGGCCAGCCGGTCATCCCACGCTGAACCAAGCATGCATTAGTTTTTCATGGAGCTCCGCCCTATCTATCTGCTGAGTGAATGAAGGCTGGAATGTGAAATTTAACCACTCTATTGCTAATGGAGAGATTGTGGCCTTTGGACATAAAACTTGTAGAGAAGAGTAAACTAGTGCTGGTTTTCCTAGAAATCACCACAAAATTCCTGTCACACTGGAGTTTATTTTTGAAAAGTAGCCTACTAGTCTAAGCAAGATTATCGCTGAGGTTAACAAAAAGCATGCTTAATAAAATCTGTTGCTCTTGCTGAGCCAATGTGCCTCTGAGTTAAGCGGTAACAGACAGTGAGAACGGAAGGGAGAAAGACTAGGTATCTATTTACACGATGTTTATGCAATAGCTTCCCTCAAGGCTCTTCAGATTTCCAGTGGGATTTAAGTGGTGTATTTTACACTAGACAGTCTTCCCTGCAACATCTGGACAGTTGTTAGTTCTATTTGTCAAATGAGGAGAAAGAGCATCTAACCAATCACAGAACAAGCTAACAGCTGCCTCCAGATAACATACATACATACACTGGTAAGCATATGCTATTGCCTGCCTAACTTCTTGCTAGTCTCAGTCTAAAGATGAAGAAACTGATGTGAATCTAGATGGAGCTTCTTCAATATACCTGGCCTGAGCTTTGAAAACTGTCCATGTCTCAATAACAACAAAAACTGAAGGAACTGCTCTACAGGCAGAGAGTGGGAGGGAGGGAGGGAGGGAGGGAGGGAGG